GTCAAATTTCAGAAAGTATACACAATTTCTGAATCTAATGTTATTATTTAAAACATAAAATGTTTTAAACCAAAATCCGACCATAATGAAAAAAGACAGTAGCTGTACGTCTGTGGATTTACTTTACTTTTTTCACGAATTTCACGAACGTAAAACCGTTACTTGGCGATCGGGAGAATACTATAGCCAGAAAGATGCATCAATATTTTATTACTTCTCAAAAAACAAAGATGGTAATTTTGGTCATTTTCAATACACATGTGTATTGAAAATGACATGGTGTATTGGTGTTTATGCTGGCCTAAATAAATGTAAGAATACGATTCTTTCTAGTCTATCCTATTTATTTTATGATCGTGTGGCGTACAACAGCAATGTTTACTCACATTCCCGGATATCCAGGGGCTATTCTACAGCTTACAGCTGATGTATTTCAATCTAGGCCCAGAGAGTAGTAAATCTCTATTTTATAGGGCCTCCGAATCGAGCGATGAATATTTAGTTGACAGTTAGAATTAAGGAACAGAGAATAACTCGTCATGTATTAAAATCAAATGCTAAATTGATTTTATAACTGATATTCTGTATCTTCGTTGCATACGATCTACATAACTATAAATACACATGCCTAAACATTACCACATTTAAACATGTGTATTAACCGTTATAATAAACATGTTTAAATATTATATTAATAATCAAACACGTGCACTAACCGTTATAATACACATGTTTAAATACTACTATAATAATCTTCACCGGGCACACAATGGTTCGGTCTTGGGATGCCACGGGTAGGCGCTTCAGTACAATCTTATTATTTTTGTTTGTTATGCATCGTAATTTTCCCGATTTTTAGGTGTGAACACAATTTGTATTTTCTTTTTAATTATACTGTGGTATAGACAAGAAGAACAATTCCCAGTAAAAAATATTTGCGGGAAATTCAGTAGTTCTTCTGTTCGTTACGGACTGCCAAAGCACTTTTTGACATCACACCACACCTAAACATGCGCTCCCGATTATAACTTCTTTTTATTGAAAATGTAGGAATATGTTAAGAGAGTATTAATAATTGTATCCTAGATTGTAGGCTTATTCATTACGTTTGCCGTGCCTGACCATTTTAAACGAAATATCTCTTGCTCACTCTAGATCACTAACCTTCCTAGGCCTAACTACAATAAACTAGTACGCGACCTTCCTTGGCCGCCGGCAGCGGGTAATAAATTTTAGGTAAGTAGCGAATCTGTCACCCGACCTGTCACTTGTGACAGGGGGTTGGATGATCGATAACCCGAGTAGGTCGGGTAGCAGGACCGAATTCACTAAGGCAAGATTTTCGGCATGAACGTTAAATTTGGATATGATTTTGTAGTCAGATTTGCGAGAAAAACTTCAGCTACCCGTATATCTCGACTGAGACGTCAGTAGGAGCTGTAATTTGTATGGCAAGGAGATTGAGCAACCCTTCATTCATATTAAGGGAATTTACGCCCAGAAACTTTGTAGTTATTAATATTTTTGTTATGATAGAAAATATTCATTTTTTTGGTGATGTCACACTCACGTTAGTTAGCATGCATACGTCATAAGGTAGATACGTCACCTTTTCCTGGTAAGGCAAACTTTCCCGGCGTACTTTTTTCATGGCTAAACAAACACCACTGCTTTGCACATGGATGCCTTGTCCAAGCCAAGGCTACAAGAGCCGCATTGTTAGATGCATTGTATAATACTTAAATAAGGTACCTCTGCAAATGAATTATTTTTAGTTATTTTTTTTTTTCTTATTTTAATTTATTTCTTCCGAAAGTGTACTTTCTATCACATATAATTCCACTGTCTTAGTTGGGCCTAGGCCCCCGCTACACAGTACATCAGGAGCCCCTCCCCCATACAGTACAGACGTTTGCTAGGTAACGACGTGATTGCACCTTCCGTCCCAGGTGTTCATTAACATTGACATAATTGTTAGCTAACCAGTTGTGTGTATTTCTTTGTGAAAATGAGTACCGCGGCGTACTCATTTTCACAAAGCATTTGCATCCCCTCTTGGAAAGAGGGATTCGAAATAATTGTCTTCGCTAATTAAATTAATCACCGTAATTTGGCTTACACTTATGAATTTAGGGAGCACTTAAAATGTGAAATAATCATTTCACTACCCGACAAACTCCAAACTTTATTCATTCATTAGGCCTACATAATAGTTTCATATATACTCCAACATCACTGGCGCATGGTAACAACCAACTGACTGCAGGCCATTTCCAGTCACACATTACTCTCCATAACACAGCACCCCCTAGGTTCCGTCACCTCTGGATCCTCCTCCAGTACAGATCAGAAAGCAGACGTTTCTATTTCTAAGTCGCATGTTTATTCTGTTTTAAATACACATAATAATATACTTATCTTTTAACTTCGATAAACTTTTAGTTGACTGTGACGGCATTACTCAGCTGCAAGATAAAAAGCTGGATTTCTCAATGGTACTTTGTTTATAAACTCATCACACCGCATTGTCATTTAGGGGATTAGGGACTCCCCAAGGACTCCCCAGTAATGGCGTCGACAACAGAGTGCGCCATTCTTCTTGGATAGGTCTATAGCACCAGAGCCATATATATAAAGAGTTGCGACATTCCGCTCCTTTGTTTGCGAAAGTCACGTGGTACACACCGTCCATTTTGTGTCATGATCTTCCCGATGAACACATGCAAAGTATATGAGTTACGTACACTGCATATTAATTTCACACACTTAATTGGGTTTACAATTATATTATTTTATAATTAACATCACTTATTATGGACAGCGTATTAGAATTCATATATAATCGAATATTTGCGCGCGTGCGTGCTCGGGTAAATTCCGTGCTCGCGTAAATTATTGGAATGAATTGGAATTTTTTTCATTTATCGTTAATTTGTCTCATTTTAATTAACGAAGACTGAAGACCCGACGTATTTTAATTAATTGTAATCTTTTCTTTTGTTTTAATTTATTAAATTTTTTAAATTATTTAAATTATTAAATTTATTATAAATTTAATAATTTTGTTTATAATAGTTATATATATTTATTTAAATTGCGAGACCTATCTCCTGGCATAGGCCTATATGGTAATTATACATTAGGCCAAATCAATATTTGTGTATAATATATAATAGATAAATCTAACGGAGAGTTAAATAGGCAATTTAACCATTAGGATGCGTACCAGTACTTAAGTACAAATAGTGTGAATGTCACATAAGATTTGTATAGGTCTCGCTCATATTCTAATTTAAAGAGCAACAATCTATATACCCTATATACGGATTTTAATTACATTTTGATATACATATTTAATTAATTTTTGCTGGTCTTGTATATCATTTATTTGTAAAAATAACAGGAGTTACTTAAGGGTCTATATGGCAAAATTGCCTAATTGAAGAATGCTTGCCATCGAAGGGCTCTCTCGGTCTATCGGCGAGGATTAAAGAACTGCTCAAAAATAGTAAATTATTACAGTATTTATAGAATGAAATTGGATATAAAGTAGTGAAAATCTATAAATAGAGTTACATGAAATTCGACTGCTAAAAAGATTAAATGAAATTAAACTATACAGGAGGCCGCTAACGGTATTATGCAATATTATACACAGGAACGCACATCACGTTAGACACAGAACGCGCATCGCGTATGACATAAAATGGCTTTTAAATTCTCAATGTCGCAACTCTTTCTATCTATGGCTCTGTATAGCATGATCGAAGTACGCCCGCTATGAACTAAGTAAGTAGAAACCAAAGATCTTATAAACACAAGATAGCGTTCTCCACGATTTACGCGTAACAAATAGAAGCGTCGGTCAAGGTTAAAAATTTTCCAATTTAGCAAGAGGGCGCCATTCATGCGCTATTATACCAAAGAGAAAAAGTAATCAGTTTTGGAAGAGAACGTCCTATCTGTTGCCATGGATCTGAGATGGTTCCTGTTCTGCTGTTCACAGGATTGATACCCAAGGTAAAGTGGCGCGGTTATGGTATGGTCAGAGCGGTCAAGGGTCAAAAGTTTCCAATTTAGCAAGAGGGCGCCATTCATGCCTTGTTACAGAATTTGCACGCGTAAATCGCGGAGAACGCTATCTTGTGTTTATAAGATCTTTGGTAGAAACCATAGAGCTATTAAACAACTAGATTGCTGACAAGATGGCGCAGCAATGCAGAGTTATGTATGTGTACCATCCAATATGGTACACACCATAGAGATATAATAACACACTGTTCTGCGTATTTCGAACATCGAATACATTGAGGTTAGCGCTCTAGTATTCTTATATCTCTATGGTAGAAAACTTTAAAAACTATGTGCACGTATAACGTATACGCGGGTGAACGTCACGCACGAGCGGTTCAATGCGCGTGTGCAGACGTACAGCTAGCAGTATGGCATTATGGTGTTGAGCTTTTAAATGTCATAATAACAACCAAAAAACCCAAAATTGCTCCTTCTTTCGTTTCCCTAAAGAAAAAGAGTGCTGAGTACAAAGCTCTGTATAACAATTTTGTGAAAAAAAGTTACAATTTGTTACCGTATAAGTTGATGTTGCTAAGTGATTTCTGTCAATGTACAGGCCTAGGTCTACACTACGCTCAACAATTAATAACAAGTTTATAATTTGTATAACATTGGTTGCTAAGTGACTTCTGCTAATGCAATGTGTGTAAGCCTAAAGTGGCAGTGTGCTAAATGTAGGCATAAAGTGACAGTGCTAAATATTGGCAATGTGTGGCGGTTTGCTTATTGTTACTCTATTACATTTATTATATATAGGCCCCTTACTAAATACCATTTGAATAAGGGCTTTGTCTAACCAGGTCCCGTGAAAAAGGTTAACTGCAAATTTTATTTGAACATATAGGCCTATGCCTAAACTGTTTTCTTTATGTACTTGATTGTTACTTACTATAAGCGGCATTTCTTTTATCATATTTCAGATGTGGAAAGTGGATCCAAAATATGAAGAGAAATGACTTACGGGATAAGTCAACCGATTGTCTCTATAATAAATATATAATCTGTTCAGAGATCATTTTGAGCAATCTCAGATTATGTGTACAGGCAGACTGGTGTGGAATGCCGTCCCAACTAAACTTGAAATTCCGATTCAAAGAACAACCATAAAGCGTAAACTACAATTTACAAATGAGGAAGGCTACACAATTGCTAAAATAATTAAATTTTGTAAGTCATATTCACTAGATTAGTAAGAATTGTGCTATAATATTGTTTCCATATTTTTTTTATCGTATTAGGATGGAAGAATTGTAGTTGTACCTCAAATACAGAATGTCTCAATCAGCTCTGATATTTATATCTGGATTATAATTTTGACTAACAAAACAGTTTGTAAAATAGGCCTATTTTATATAGGCCTAGGTCTAAGATTTCAGATAATTATTTGACTGGTTTTTTATGTTTGTATATTATTTTTGGATAAATGTTTATGTATTAGCTTTGCTTATTATGCTTAATATAGGCCCTTTATAAATTATTTATATCATTGTACTGCAATAGGTTCAGAAGAAGACCATAGCTATGCAAAGGATTATTCATTGGAAAATTAACCAGACGAACAAACAAGCACTGGAAGTCACTCCAGTATAATAGAACCAGGTATGGCCTACGATTTATTATTATTTTTTTATTTATTTTATTTAAACAAACCAACAGCGAAAACAAGAATCGCCACTTACAGAATTATAAAAACATAAAAATAGGCCTATAACAAACTATAGAGGTTATAGGCCTATATTTAAGTGTTTTTTAATGGTGTGTTTTCAGTTGGCGATATTGGGTTAAACTGAGACTCATTTTAAAGTAACAGCTTAGTTTGTATATTCAAATCTGGCGTTATGCGTATGTTCATCTGTTTTGATGTTAAATGATCGTAACCATTTCTACTTGTTCTCCATGCTTTTCAGAACCCAAAGCACCTTTGGAGATTACAGAAGATACTACTCTTGACACACAAGTGGATGTACTTTCCAATAAAGAAAGGATAGACCAGAGTCATGAAAAACCGAATAGGCCTACATTAGATAGGGAGCCAAACGAACACTCGACCTTTGGAAATAACTCCAGCACGAACGAACTAGGTGGGCCTATACAAGGATTACAAAATTATTCAGTTAAACTAGTATAAACATAAGCATGTTTTGTGTGTATGGGGCCTATGTGGGTGTATGTTGAGTTGAAAATGGTTAAATGTAGGCACACATTTTAAATTTAAAAAAAAAACGCACAATAAACAAATTATAAACATATGCTTTTGCATTTCAACTATGTTTTTGTGATAAATTATCGTAACGGTTTATTCTTGTTCCTATTGCTTTTCAGAAACTGATTCTTTAAAAATTACAGAAAAAAGTATTCCTTCTGGCACACAAGTGGACGACCACAGCTATGCAAAACATAATTTATTGATAAATGAGTCATACCAGCAATCGTCCATTCGGGATAACTCCAACACAAATAAACAAGGTAAGAAACTTCAAAACATGAAAATCGAATAGCCTACAATATTAATTTAGAGGTTTGACACAATCAAGTAAAAAAAAAGTCAATTAGGAAATTTACACTTAAATATTATTATTGTGTTTGCTAAGAAGTAGTTAATTAACTGGTCATACATTAATATTCATTCTGTGTGTTTTCAAAGAGCCTGGTAAGGGTACACAAAAGGATGCTCCACGCAGGAAGACAAGCTGCTGGCCTTCGCACTTCACAACCAAAGCCCGAAGGCTCATAAATTTTGTCGGAAGATTTTTGCACTGCCAACTGTAAGTTCATTGAGAAGATGGTTAGAAAACGTGAAGCTACAACCTGGTTTTAATATGTGTTGCGTAAAAAGTGTATGACCATGTCGGAAAGAAACAAAGTGTGTGTTGTAACACTGGATGAGATGAGTTTGAAATCAGGCCTCTACTATGACATGGCAAAAGATATAGTAGAGGGAATGGATGATTTTGGTTCTATTGGAAGAACAAAAAAACATAGCCACTCATGCCCTGGTATTTATGGTCAGGGGTCTGTCATGTAAATGGAAGCAACCAGTAGGTTACTTCATAGCCAATAGTGCCACACCTGGCAGTACATAAAAAATACTACTGCTTGACTCCATAAAAAAAGCTACAAAATATAGGGTTCACGGTAAAAGTTGTGATTGGAGACCAAGGCTCAAACAATCGTAAGATGTTTTCTGAGTTAGGTTTAACGGCAGACAAACCATTTATTGTGTGGAAAAAGGAGGACGATAGTGAGAGCCACAACATCTATTTTATGTACGACCCGCCATATTTGCTAAAAAGTGTGCGCAATAAATAACCTGAAACAACATATCTTTGTTGTAGATGGGCATGAAATTAAATGGGATTATGTTGTAGAATTCTACAATCATGATTCCAAGCTGCCACTTAGAATGGCCCCAAAGCTGACTTCAAGGCACATTGAACTACTGCCCTTCACACCCCAATGAGGGTTTGTCTTGCCGCACAAGTATTAAGCCATAGTGTGGCAGCTGGTATTTTAACACACTCATCACTTGGCAAATTACCAGCAGAAACAGTATATACTGCAAATTTTATTGAAAAAATGGATCAGATATTTGATTCATTCAATTCCAGAAAATTAAGCGATGCAAAAGAGTACAGAAGAGCTGTAAAAGTTGGTTTCCCACATATCCAGTTCTGGGAAGATTGTGTTAAATGGATAAAGGGTTGGAGGGTAAAATCGGGGTCGTTAGCTAAAATTGTATGCATTCAGGGGTGGGTTCTCACAATTAATTCAGCTATTCAATTATTTAGTGAAATATCAACACAATGTGATTTTAATTTTCTACTAACTAATCGTCTTACTCAGGACTGCTTGGAAAATTTGTTTTCGATTATTCGACACAGGGGTGGGAATAGGGACAACCCTACAGTTAATGAATTTCGTGCCGCCTTGAAGCAGGTGATGTGTTCAAAGATGATGGCTCCGCTTGGGAATAATAGTAATTGTCTACCTGACGATGATTGTTTCATTGAGGTATGTCAGACTAAACAATATGTTCGAAAACCGAAGCAGCAATGGATAATGAGGTTGATGAATTGGTGGCCGTTGAACAGACACATATGAATGCTATCGTATATGTGGCAGGATATATTGCCAAAAGGTTCTTAACAAAGCACAAGTGCGATGTGTGTAAGGCATTACTCCAAAGTGATTCGACCTTCCTACAAGATCCGTCGCAACTTTTAACGCACTTTAAATCAAACAATACTAAAAATTCTGACTTTGGATCCTTAATCATGCATAATGAACAATTTACAATTTTTTTTGTTGCTTATGAACAGATTTTTGTAAAATTTGTTAATCAATTTTTGCATACAAATTTAATTTCAAGAGTAATTATAAATAGAACATTGTCTGTAACTGAAATCATGAATTTTAAATTAAATCTGTGCACAAGAAATATGGAAAATTTATTAATTTCATATTTTGTAAGATGTAGACTTAGTTGGGCTGTCAAATTTTATAACAGAGATTTGCAGGATTTGTTAAAGAAAAATAAAAAGAAAAGAAGAAGAACAGAAAATTAATAAAAATTATCCATTTATAAAGTTTATGTAGTAGATAATGTGCAAGAAATTTACATTTGCACTCAGTTTGAATGGGACAATCCTACCATGGCGGCCCAGCAGGAATAAGCGAATCCGACGTTTTCTTTTTTTCCCCCACAATTAAATTCAAACTTTTTGTCCTGTTCCATAATTCAACTTTTACAGCTCTTCTGTACTGGTTTGTATTACCAAAACCAACTTAAATGACAAAAACAAGAAAATATACTTTTTATATATCCATATTCTCCATATTATATGCTTTAAAATGAAAACCTATTTACTGGAATTGGATTTAATTGAAGAGTGTACTGCATTCTTTAACGTGCACATGGGCCATAGAAGCACACGGGACCAACGGCTTAAACGTCTCATCCCAAAGACGGTGCGCTATTGTAACTTGTATTTCAGCCCTCTAGCTGACACACAAGGAGAGACAGCGATGATCTCCACGGTTCAGCGCGCACACAGTGGCTACCACCAGATTATCCGACTGAGCTAAGCTGCTCTCTCAATTGACTTACTATTGCCTAAGTTATAAGAGTTTAACCCCATCTCATACAATATTGTCACATTTATATCACTCAGTTTTAAATATAGCGAAAGTACGCTGGTTTATAATAATAATAATAATAATAATAATAATATATTATTATTATTATTATTATTATTATTATTATTATTATTGTCGTGTCGTCGTCGTTGTTGTTATTATTATTATTATTATTGTTGTTATTATTATCGTTTATTATTATTATTATTATTATTATTATTATTATTATTATTATTATCATGATTTTTATTATTCAAATTCGTTGTAAAAAAGTTTGTAAACAAGCAAATTTGAATTTCCAAAACCTTAGTTATGAATTTTTGCATACACGATATGTGGCTAAAACATTATTGGATGTTCATTAAAGTATTACACTAGAATTTTATCATTTCCTCTTGGTCTTTGTCATGCCTAGGTGTCCCATATTATGGGCAACTTTCACCACTTTTCTTTGCAAAGAATTTGGTATGACAATTTGTCGGTCTCGGAACACCAACCCTTCAGTTCATGTCGAATGTGATAAAATGGTGTAATATATGGGTCCTTCCTGTTCATCTCCCACTCGCCGAGTTGAATAATTTTGCTGAGTTTCTGTAGTTGGCTGTCGGTTGATGTTTCTCTCAGAATCTGATCCATAACAATGGAGTGTTCATCTGTGATTATCTGTCTGATAATGAGCTCTGTTTCATCTGATTCTGTTTCGGGTAGTGGATGCCTGGAGAAATCAAGTGGATCTCTGTCATCTTTTCCTGGTTCATAAATCATTTCAAAATCCACATTATGCATACTCATGACCCATTTCTCAGTCCTAGGTGGGAGCTTAGTTGTGGCCTTCGTAAACATGGGGATGACTGGTTTGTGGGCCGTAATGATAATGAATCTTGAAGCTCCTAGTAGGTAGATGCTTAACCTATATTTTGCCCATTTGACTGCCAGTGCATCTTTTACAGTCTGGCTATATCTCTTCTCTGTATCAGTCATTGTACTGGTGATAAGATGAACAGGTTGGAGGCCTTTCACTGTCTTTTGGAATAAGCCGGCTGACAATCCCTCATTGAAGCTTGCTTCTGTTTGCGTACAATAATTGGTAACTTGGGATTGAAATATGCCATTGTATATCAAGGTATCTTTATTTCAAAAAATCAAAATATCATCGCAGCACAAAGCTGAATTGAGATAAAATGTACAAATAGTCGTCAAAGTATTTAAAAAAGTCTTAAAATTACAGGACAAACATAAATTTATACCACAGAATCCAAAAATCACACACAAACAACCAAATTAAACAAGATTATGAAACAAAATAAAATTGGAAATAAAAAACCACATACATAGGTTATTATATAAGTCATTGCAGAATCATTATTATGATATTATTAATATTGTTGCTATTGTTATTATTAATATTATTAATCATAGACATTGTTTTTAATATTAAAATTTTTATTGCTAATTATTATAATTTGTATAAAAATTGGTCATTAAAAAAATATAAATATGTATATATAAAAAATAAATATGTATATACGGATTTAAAACATAGTTACAGCGGAGTAATGCAGGGGAACTATGCCTATTCGAGAAACTGTATAAGGTATGGTAGAGGACTGCTTACATCGGTTGGTTTTACATCTGAATTTATCATATTTTCTTTTCTTTTTCTTTCTTTATTTTTTCTACAGGATTCACTAGCCTTAATAGCGAAACTCTTATATATGTTCTTTCGACGGGTTGATAACGTTTCTAAACTTAAGGTCTTCAGAGACTCTTCGTAAGAAACATACGCCTCAGATAGAATA